CCCTCGGGGTCAACAGACATTGCAGAGGGGAGTGGTAAAAACAACAAAACAAGTTTGTAAGTACAAGAGGCAATGCAATGTTGTTGGTTATACAACAGCAGATTGAAACAAAACAAAAGAAAGAAAGAAATGAGAAATATCAAAATGACATATAAGAAAATAGAAAGATACATTCTTATAAAAAATATAAAAATAATGTTTCTAGGTATACAATCAGCATTGTTACACTTCAGTGCTACAGGTACAACAAATACAACAGGTAACAGTGAAATCTTACTTTTAGAAATGTATAAGATGAAATACTACAACCAGGTATTCAAAGAATTCGTTAATACTGTCATAAATGCGTCACGATCTGAAATTGTTACAAACGATTCAGGAAGGCAATTCCAATCGCATGAAGTGCGTTACGTATGATTGTTGAAATGACTCTGTTTGACACGATGGGTTGCCAACTTTATGAGCATTATCTAAACGACGAGAAACGTAATGCGGTGGAGGGATTAGTAAATCACGGACGTGTGAGTGGTGATATATTTTATGGGAAAGGGTTAAGCGGATCGTAGTACGACGACAAGCAAGTGAAGGTAATTTAAGCGTATATTTCATTAGTGTGATGTTCGTGTTTCGATCGTAATTAGCTGTTATTAAGCGAACAGAGGTATTGTGTACCATTTCTAATGAATGCACCAAATTATGGTGGTATGGATCCCAAACAGATGCGGCATATTCAAGTTTAGTACAAACTAGTGTTTTATACAACATCAGCTTGACAGAAGGAGGTGATTTGATGAAGTTACAACGAAGATATCCGAGCATGCGATTAGTGTTACAAACAACATAGTTAATATGAGTATTTCATGTTAGGTTGTTACTGATATAAACTCCGAGGTACTTGTATGAGGTGACTGTGTAATTATGTGTTATGTAATTTATAAGTAGGTAAAGTGGTGATCTTTTTTGACACACGCATGAATTTACATTTTTTACTGTTTTTTATGAGCCATGTGTTACACCAGTTAAGGACAGCAGTGAGGTCAGATTGAAGAAGGGCGACGTCGTTAGGTCCAGTTATTTCACGAAAAATTACGCAATCGTTGGCAAAAAGATGAACGGATGAGGTGACGCAAGATGGCAGATTGTTATTATAGATTAGAAAAAGACGCGGACCAAGAACCGAGTCCTGTGGTACAGCAGAATGTACTGCACATTCCGTGTAATTACTTTCATTAGCCAAAACGAATTGTGAGCGGTTAGTAAGACCACTTTCAATCCAAGTTACAAGGCAGGGGTCAAGGTTGAGTAGTCATAATTTGAAAATGAGCAGTTTGTGGCACACCCTGTCAAAAGCTTTGGAAAAAACGAGGAAAATGCAGTCGGTGAGCAAGCTGTTTTCAAGAATGATATTTATGCACGAAAAGTGTTAATTGAGTTTCGCAAGAGTATGATTTGCGAAATCCATGTTGCGATTGAGTGAAAAATGAGTGTGACACTAAAAAACTTACAAGGTGAGAAGCCAAAATGTGTTTTAATATTTTACATAGGATACTAGTGAGAGAAATGGGTCTGTAGTTCAAGGGAGAATGCTTGTTACCCGATTTGTGGATTGAAACTACCCTCCCGACTTTCCACTCAGATGGGAGAACACCGTCGTTGAGCGACTGTTGAAAAATTTTGGTTTGTATTAAGGATGAATAACAGACAGTATTTTGGAGGAATTTGACGTTTATTTGATCGCTGCCCGGTGCCGAGGATGCTTTCAGTGACTTATTAATGCTTGCGACACTATCGTAGCTGAGAATGATAGCAAACATATGATCGTGGTGATATGGTTACACATGGAGAGCGTTGGTGGTGGTGGGTAAAGAAAATTTTTTTGAAAAAACACGTTCGAGCCTTGGTCGGTTGGTATAGCGTTACCGCTAAGATCATTAGGTACTGTAAGACCACTTTCGTGAGGATTCATCACTCGCCAAAATTTTTTAGGGTTAGTCTTCAACATCGCAGTTGAGGTGATGCTTGGAAAACACTTTGGCAATTTTTAAGGTCTGCGCGTATTCATCAGCGCACTTCTTGTAATCTGACAAACGAGCCCTACATTGATAACTTTAGCCGATTTGAAGAGACGCTTCTTTTTATTAGACAAGAGTTTAAGCTGGTGATTATACCATTGTCACGGACGGCCATTTTTGGCGACACCGCGTCACGGCAATTAACGGGCGCAGTACTCCCCCACTGACCGTGAGAGCGGTGGGCGCATGAAAGGGAGCCGAGAAGTGCAGAATGGGGTGCTCTTCTTAGAACGTCGCCGCCGACGGGGTTGATCCTTTTGTAACAAAACTGGCGTCTGCAAGGTCGTAGAAGGCCGCAGTATACCCCAAACAAGGATTATACTACGAGACGCACTGGCTGAGAGCCAAACGGTTGACCGTTCCCATGGGGAAAAGCGTGGGAAACGCTCTGGTGGCCAAGCCGTATGACAACAACCCGACAGGTTGTCACTCTCGCTAGTTGAGGGCCCTCTCCGAATTAAAAAGGGGTGGGGTCAAAATATTTTTGGGGCAGAGTTTCCATCAATTAAACGCACATGATTGGACCTATGTAGAAGTCTCTTGTCCCCAAGGAAGAGAGCGAGGAGACACGAGGGGGATTTAAGCGCAGGATTTTGCCCTGCTAGGCAGACTAGTCGCTGACCAACATGGTGTAGAAACAGATCAACAAGCATCTCTTCTAGAAGTTTTTAGTGTGGCTCTGTATCGGCTGGCCACCTAAACTTAGCCGTTCGTCTAGTTGTGACGCGATATTAACGTCTGCAACGTAGACATCGGGATTTCGCCTCGAGTTAGCTCAACCTGCTCGAAGTCACCTGCAAGCACCAGCCTCCCGGAGCCACCAGCGTTGCAACACCGCCGACATCGCAGTCGTGCCAGAACTCTCTCCGACTTCTCGCATCCGATCGTCGGGGACGCAACGCGGGCGGTCATCACACGTATGCCTTCACCTGTTTATATCTTCGAACTTTCTCCTCTGTAGTTCTGTTGTGTTAGTTTGTGTAGTTTGTAATAGTTCTCTCGCGTAAGCTGATTTATTTTTTTTATATGTATTTGTATCAAGTGTTGATGTATATTGTTAGTTGTATTGAAGTGTTGTATTAGATCCCGTGTGCTGCAATATCACTAGAGTAAAGTTTGTTTTGTTTTCTCACGTCTCTGATCTCTTGACTGTCTCTGTCTGCGTACGGAACAAACTAACCTGCTGTCCTTCCCGTCGCCGACTTCGCGCTGGCGACGCTAGAGTGGCAGCTTGTAACAACCATGGTTTTGTTTTTTTTAGGTTGGGGGAAATAGCGTATACAGGGATGTACTTATCTGTTAGTTCCACAACCTTAGCAAAAAAGATACTCCAGCTTGATTGAACGTCGCGACAGTCAAAATCATTCAAGAAATCATCAAGAAATACAGCAAGTTCATTGTTGATGGTAAGAAAGTCGGCCTTGTTGTAATCTCGTAGTGTCTTATTTGTTTTAACGGCTTCAGGTTGCGCACGGCAAACGTTAAACGAGAGAAGGCTATGATCACATAGGTAGTAACGGGACAAGAAAAGTAGTAATGGCTGCAGTCACGAGCTCTTTCATTCCAGTTACTAACTGTTTACTAACGTAAGTAGTAAACAAAACGAAAAAAGTTAGTAACAGTTGTAGGTAGTAACTGTTCACTAACGTAGGTAGTAAACAGGTAGCAAAACGGTTGTAACTGTTGAAGAAAGATAGTGAGCGCTTAAGCTACTACCTATTTCCTTGCAGTTGCTACCTTTTTACTAACTTTTTTAAGAGTGTATAGCTATAGATAGTTTGCTGGCGGCAAAATCTAGTCAAGAGTTTCCATATAAATTATATTGTAATCAAGCGATAAAGGGCGAAAAGAAGCAGAACTACAGGGTGAAAAACGAAGCTTTGCCAATGCTGCAGCAACGAGTTTGCGTATTGGGAAACAACATAAACAACGCTAGAAGTTGTAGTGAATGAGAGAGACACCACGGTAGCCGAAGTGACTGTCACCGAAGTAATCGCCACTTTAGAAACTGAAATGAAAGTCTACACTCTCTCTGGCTGAAGCCGGATCGCGTTTTCTTTCTCGCCAGCGCCTCCACTTCTTTGCATAGCTGCGTGAGTGGTGAGGTAAAGACTATGATCATGAGTATATGGGAAGACGCCGTAACAATTTCGAGTAAAACAATTCGCGAGACTTGGTGCTGAAAATCGCCTTGACCCGAAGCCCCAACAAACAAGCGCCCTGCTGGTCGCTCACTGTGCTTTTTCTCAATTTCTGGGTATTTGTGAACTTCCTGAGCATTTTGCAAGTACGCGGGTAGCGAGAACGCACCAATGGTATTCTAAGTGTGAATGTATGACGCCTTACTGCGACAGTAACGAAGCAAGCATTTTTCAGTAAACACACCAGACGCACGGGTTTGCCGTCAGTACTGATGGCTACTGTTCTTTCGTGAATAGTACGTTCGCTCTATAATTTCTCCTCCGCAATCCGCTTTTATTCACAGCCAGCGATACGTCCACTCAACGTAAGCGTCACATGGAGGTGTCGTTGAGTCACTGACAAGGGCTATAGTCTGTGAGCACCCGTGAGATCTCTTTAGTTCAGGTTCCCCATTGAGCACACCAGCTCATTTGTTTCTTTGCGGCTCGAAGAATACAGTGTTACCGAGTGATACGCGAGCAACATTGTTTTCAATGTCCTTACCCTGGCTAACACTCATTTGGGCTGCATTGAAGTAGTATCTCCCGAATGCACCGTCTAGAGCAATAAGTGAGCTCACAGTAGAAGTCTGCAATTAGCTAACCATTATCGCCTCGCAGAACATTTACACAGAAGCGCTGCAATGGAGCATATAGGTGGAAACAGCTCTTTACCACATGCAAATCTGCTCATGTCATGACACAGCGCCGACAGGCAAGTGGCTTTGTGTTATGAACATTGTCTCAGGTACATGGTTGGTGAAGGACTGAGCGGCCTCGTTCCAGCCACCATTGCACTGGCACAGGGTGTGGGCGAGCAGACAGCGGCCAAATCGGGCCGTGCGAAGGGTCCCCGTTTCAGCGTGGAGGTGTTCTTGTCCATGCTGGCTGGCATCGTGGCAATAAGCTGGATAGCCTTTATTGCCCTCGCCCACTGCCAGGTAGCCACTGCGCTGCAGGTAAGAGCCTCATGTGTGCTTCGTTCACTATATATATATATATATATATATATATATATATATATATATATATATATATATATATATATATATATATATATATATATACCAAAAACAAAAGTGATGCTGGGTCCGGGTAAGATTATCTGTATCTGGAAGAAGACGCACGTACGAAGTAATTTTATTGACGTTTCGGCCGCGGGTCCAGCCTTCACCAGAATACAGTTTATGGCGCGAGTGCCGTTTATATACATGTGCGTATCAATAAGATACAAATATGAAAACCTGTCCATCTTTTTTCAACCTTGCTCAGCAAGTCGCACTACATTGTCTGTATCCGTTGATTACGTAGCAGCTTTGTAACGTCTTTGGGATTTTTATTAGTATTTTATAATTTTTTCTTCTTTTTCTCCTTGCTATTACCGGTCGGACTACTCTTCATGTAATGTGCTTTATCTTTTATGCGTTTTATCTTTTATTTGTAAACAACGTGCTCGCCACGGGCTCGCGCATGGAAGCAATATCTTTTTACTCGTGTATTAGGCGCCCTTCATATTGTGTGACTTGCATATATACATGCCCATATATCGCCTTTCATGCCGGTTTTCATATTTGTATCTTATTGATATGCACATGTATATAAACGGCACTCGTGCCATAAAACTGTATTCTGATGAAGGCCGGACCCGCGGCCGAAACGTCAATAAAATTACTTCGTACGTGCGTCTTCTTCCAAATACGGATATATATATATATATATATATATATATATATATATATATATATATATATATATATATATATATATATATATATATATATATATATATTTCAAAACCCTATTCTCATATCGCAGTTGTTAATTTGCCAAGTGAGGGTCCTGGTATGTTGATGCGTTTAGGCAAGGGCTAGTTGGAAAAAACAGTAACGTCAACCGTTTGGTTGTGGAATCGTTACCAAATTGACGTTTCGGTTTGTTCCACATACTGAAATTTACAATATGAGCATTCAAGCAGATATTTTAGTTAATAGTGTCGCAAGCATGGTTTCCTTTATTTCTTCGTGTAGAACTTGAAGCATGAGCTCTTAGCTGATACTTTTGTTGCCATGTGGGTGCACACTTCGAGACGTGGCTAGCGGATGGCAACTAAAATAAATCGATTGGGTTGTTGTTTTGGATGACGTGGGCATGTCACCCAAGTTTCGTGATCAACGGAAGGCTACGCATGGTGGTTCATCACAAAATTTCTCCAGTGGATCAGTCTGCATGACGATGTTGTGATGTTTTTTTAAGGTGCAGCTCAAAGCAGAATGCGTTAGAACCAGATTACTACATGGGAGCTGCGGAGCACGTTTGCTCGATTTAAGAAGGTCGCGTCCGTCTATTTTAGCTGCATGTCTAATTGCATGGTCGATCGTTTTGGGAGGATATATCTGTCCACCAAATGAATCGAGCACTTTCTCGCAGGTATCGCAGAAGTCATTATCAGAGAAGTACCAGCTTTGAAAACGGAGTGCTTCACTGTAGGCATGCTTCTTTTTTTATGCTCATTGTGGCTGCTTTCTAAATAGAAATAGTCTCAGTTAAAATAGCCAGTACTATAGGGCGGCCACGGTTGTGGGCCTTATGTATTTTGGGAAGCAAATAAAATCATCCTGTGACAGGACTGAAAGGTAAAAGGGAATGTTACATATTTTCAGTAATGCGTCCATCTTGAACTAGGTGCGTCGCCAGGAATGCGTTAATATTCACCAGTTGAGTCGTTGTCTAGGTGTTTGCAGTAACAGCAATTAGCAAACTGCCTCAAAGTTTTGGTCACATTGTCGAAGGTTCGACGCTGTCGGCTGATAGCTGGTACTGCAAACAGCTGAAATAATTCAATTATTCATCGATGTTTTGGATTTAACGTCCCAAAACAACCTTGTGATTATGAAAGACACCGTAGTGGAAGGCTCCGGAAATTTTGACCAGCTGGGGTTCTTCAACGTGCACCCAAATCTGAGCACACGAAACTGCAGCATTTTCGCCTCCTTCAAAAATGCAGCCGCCGCCACCGGAACTTGATCCCGTGACCTGCGGGTCAGCAGCGGGACTATGAACGAAGTAATATATATATATATATAAATATATATATAAGTATATATATATAAGATATGGCACAACGGGAGCGTTGTCAACAAGGATAAATATATTTCCCAACAGTTTCGGGAGGGGTCCTCCCTTCATCAGGGGATGAGTTATACTGACATGAGCTTCCAAACTTTGTTGCTGCCGCGTCCCTCTCGCCTTGAAAAATGTTTGCGAGAGTGAGAGGGAACTAGAAAAAAAGGGGGAGGGAGAAAAAAGAAAGAAAAGAAAGAAAGTAAAGAAGAGGAAGAACCACTGTCCACACTGAAAACGAAGCCAACTGTCCGTCTACATCCACATACGGTTCATATCACCTGCTTTTCAGTTCTTGACGTGTGTCGGGCCACCCAAGATTGTCGCCGCGGTGCCGGGAGGGTCCGTGACGGCGTGCATAAAGAAAGGAGTTTTCCCGTAATGGGTCGGTCGACGGGCGGCGTGCGTAAAGGAAGGAATTCCCGTTAATGGGTCGGTCAGCTATTTACCTTTAATCTTCGTCCGTTTAAAGATTAAAGGTAAATAGCCGACCAACCCATTAACGGGAATTCCTTCCTTTACGCACGCCGCCCGTCGACCGACCCATTACGGGAAAACTTCTTTCTTTAAGCACGCCGTCACGGACCCTCCCGGCACCGCGGCGACAATCTTGGGTGGCCCGACACACGTCAAGAACTGAACAGCACGTGATATGAACCGTATGTGGATGTAGACGGACAGTTGGCTTCGTTTTCAGTGTTGACAGTGGTTCTTCCTCTTCTTTACTTTCTTTCTTTTCTTTCTTTTTTCTCCCCCCCCCCCTTTTTTTTTATAGTTCCCTCTCACTCTCGCAAACATTTTTCAAGGCGAGAGGGACGCGGCAGCAACGAAGTTTGGAAGCTCATGTCAGTATAACTCATCCCCTGATGAAGGGAGGACCCCTCCCGAAACTGTTGGGAAATAAATATATTTATCCTTGTTGACAACGCTCCCGTTGTGCCACATCTCATACCTTCACGAAGACTAACTGGCCCATTGAATTATTACTCCAACTATATATATATATATATATATATATATATATATATATATATATATATATATATATATATATATATATATATATATATATATATATATATATATGAGATATAACAGACAGTAATGCCAACGAATGTACAGGGGAAGTTATTAACATTAATGGAATGTAAATAAGAGGAAAGAAAAGTGGATGAAAAAATTACCAACTGTAAGCAGGAATCGAACCTACGACCTTCGAATTACGCGTTCGATGTAATTCGAAGGTCGTAGGTTCGATTCCTGCTTACAGTTGGTAATTTTTTCATCCACTTTTCTTTCCTCTTATTTACATTCCATTAATGTTAATAACTTCCCCTGTACATTCCTTGGCATTACTGTCTGTTATATCTCATTATTATTGTGTTAAAAACACGGAAAAACGAGCCCTTAGGTATACACTTCTTTCCCTTATATATATATATATATATATATATATATATCAACGATATTTTTTAAGTGGTTGAACACCCGGTATGAGTGAAATTTTTGCAGCTGACTGCTTATTTTATTCTACATTAACGAGAAAGCACGATCAAGTTAGTATTAGTCATTGCTTGGAAGAATACAGCCATCGGTGTAACTTATGGGATATGAAAGTAAACTCCGAAAAAAAAACATATACACATATGAATAAAAACAGGCTTTATGCCCTTCCAATGTTCTATCGACAGGAATTCACTCCTCTATGCTAACCAATTTAAATATTTAGGAGTCACCCTTACTCAAAATTTGGCATGCCATACACACATAGACAATGTGTGCTTGAAAGCGAACCAGAGACAATGTTTATTAAGACTAAAACTACATCAAGCTACGCGAGATATAAAACTTGTAGCTTACAAGACCTTCGTTATATCACTACTAGAATATGCCTCAGTCGTGTGGAGTCCTCATCAAGACAACCTGAAAACAAAATAAAAAAATGTTCAACGCCATGCCGTCCGCTTCATATGCACGAATTACCACAGGTTAGATTCTGTCACGCAGATGTTGGAGTCCTGTGAACTGAAATCACTTGAGGCACGGAGACATAAGAACCAGTTTGAAGCTCTTTTCAGTATACTGCAAGGACAACTGAAAATTAACAAAGACTTGTACTATAACTCCAGGGAAACGAAGCAGTCGGGTTAATCACGAGTGTTCAAGCATTATATATCTTTATATATATATATATATATATATATATATATATATATATATATATATATATATATATATATATATATTATACGACTGTCCTGGCCCCCTAATATTCATTTCCTCATGAAAGTTCTCGAAGAGCAAGGATACTCATTCTTGGCGTGAGTAAGCGCTAAATATGCTACAGATGATACTGATACATATGGTTTTTTGTGTTACGCCAAACGATAACGATGAAATACTAGAGCAGGGGTCCCAAAACGGCAACGCAGTTTATAAAAAAAAACGTAAAGCATTACATCATGTTGGCCCCATTTTTCTGGTTCTCATTGTGATTTTATGCTGGTGTCATGATATTCCTTTATCAATGCATGCCTGTTTAGCGGTTTAGCTTTCCAAGCTGTGCTCGAGTTATGGGCTGACAAGTACGTAATGCATGGTGAATACAAAAGATGGCTTGGCCGCATGTGCCGTCGCCCATTGTTTCTTTTGTTTATCGGAGCCTTGTTTCACAATTTACTGTTTCAGGTTCGTGAAAATAAAAAAGGCCAGCGATATGGTGCTGCGGATAACCATGGTTACGAGCCCGAGAATGGTGTAGCCACCGTGAGCAGCCAAAGTAGCGTCGATGGCGTCCCGCCCTCTTCGGGCGAGAGTCCTTCGCTGAACCGACAAGGCCGCCTGAAACGCTCTCAGTGGTGGCTAGTGCTTAGCTTGCAGGCTCTCATCGCCTGCCTTGGAAACGGCGTCCTTCTCGCCATACAGGTGCGCATTTTCATGTTAACATGACCAGGGTTCGGAGATGCATATCTTGGCAATAGTAATTTGCACATACTAGATCAGCTGGGTGAAAGGCAAGGCATGCAGCACAATTATTCTCAACAGGGAAGCTCAAAAAACTGCTATAAATACTTTAGATGCGAAGCTACTCATGGTTAAGTTCAATCCGGAGTTTGGCATGACCACCGTTACCGCGCATGTGCATCCCCCTCTCTCGCCTCCCAACGCAGGAAGCGTCTGCTAGCCTACGCTCGCTCCCCCTCTCTCTCCTCTATACTCGGTATCAGAAGTTTCCTTCAGCACTGTGGAGGCTACAGGCCGCTCAACCAATAAGAAGGGCAATTAATTCCCTGCACATGCATTCATCCACACCATGTCGTCTGCTCACCGTCTACACGGCGTCTGCTCGCTGAATTGTTTATACACACTCGTTGCAGATAAGGTCAGTTTATTAACTGGAAGATACCATAAAACTGCCAAACGAGCAGCTACACAAGGAACTTGAGGCGTGGATTTGTTAATCTGTTGAAGATCGGTAGACGCTCGTGCCGGCAAAGAACTTCACATTGTGGCTACTTCTCTCAGACGCTTTTCCTGGCTCTCGCATAACTGCTTCTCTATCAACTCGTTCGTTCGCCTCTCTAACTGCAATGCTTCTTTGCTATCTCTCTCTCTTTTTTTGTCAGCGTCGAAGGAGGATCTGATGCACACAAAACGCTGTGCCATGTTGCATGTCCGTTGAAGATGGAACACTCTTCGTCTGGCAACGCAGACTGGCGCAGCCCAAGTATTGCCTTGCTGCGTCAGTCTTAGCATGTGCGCCTAAGCAAGCAGCATATCTCGATAATAAAGACAAAACCTACCTGATATTTTATCCTCAGAGTAATATGAAACAAATCAACGGCGGATTTCACCATTCGTTTTTTGCTAGGTGTACTGTGGGTGCGTAGCAAGAGCAAGTTTGGTTCGAAGCGGGTGGTCGCTTCTGCATGCATGGGCGCTGACATATTGATTTGTAAACACAGTCACAGGCGGTAAGTGACAAAAATGATTTAACGTGTACAAACTAAATGCGAAGAATAAACGTATCACATATTCATGTGACGTAACACACACCGAACAAACGCCATTTTTCGTCCACCCGGTCGATATCACTGCACCTAGAATTAGGATCATGTTTGGCTGCACAAGTGTGTGGCTTTCTTACAACTAGCTTTCGTAGTGCTGAACCAAAGTGGAAAAAGTATCTCTTCCCATGACGTTTAGACTCCCATTGCGCATGCACGTCCCCTCCACCTCTCTCTCTTCTACTACGCTCCCCCCTCTCTCACGTCTCAATGGCGACGCAGGAAGCGTCTGCTTAAGAGTTTCTTGCTTGAAACAACCCCCCCCCCCCAGGTTTTAAATGCAAAGCATTTCTTTGTGAATTTTGGCGACTTTGAGCGTATCTATCTATCTATATATCTAAATATCTATCTATCTATCGATCTATTGTCACGATTAGTCAGAAGTACTGGGGGATTTATTAAACCACCGGGTAGCTAGCACTAGGACGATGCGTCAGTCTTGGCTGGCTCTCGAGCAGAGAAGAAACACGTGATCTTCTTTTTTCCTCCAGATTGAGAGCCGCTCTTGCCGTCAAACCACTACGTGCTGGTGGCATTATCTCCCCTTCTGAAAAGAAAAAAAAACAAGTACCAAAAACAGCAAAGAAAAGTACATAGCAGCACCGCGATACTACTACATAGGCACGTGAAAAAAATGCAAATTCGGATAAAGTGAAAGTAGAAATTGAAGAGTGTGTCAATATAGGAAACGTCAATGAACGAGAAAGCAAGTTCACAAAAATAAACAAAAAACACAAAGAACGCTGTACGGTAAAAGAAAAGTTACGAACAACGCGCAATAAACGGTTTCATGCGCAACACATGAACGATGTCCGGCATCAGTCGTGTCCTGCTCCGTGCATGGGGTGTTGAGTTCGGAACCACTTCGTAGTTCACGTCAGTGATGCGGCGAAACACTTTATATGGGCCAAAGTACCGGCTCCGTAACTTTTCACTAAGGCCACGGCGGCGGATGGGCGTCCACACCCAAACTTGATCTCCAGGGCTGTAAAACACTTCTCTGTGGCGGGTATTATAGCGTCGTGCGTCTGCCTGCTGTCGCTGGCCGATGTGCAGTCGCGCGAGCTGCCAGGCTTCCTCAGCACGCTCTGCGAATTCTTCGGCGTCAGTTGCCAATTCTTCGTCGTCCTGACACGGTAGCATAGAGTCTAGCATGGTCTGCACTTCACGGCCGTAGGGAAGCCGAAATGGCGTGAATCGCGTGGTCTCTTGCACGGTGGTATTATACGCAAAGGTCACGTAAGGTAAGATCCGGTCCCATGTTTTGTGCTGTACATCGATGTACACTGAGATCATGTCTGCGAGGGTCTTATTCGGTCGTTCGGTAACTCCGTTGGTTTGCGGGTGGTACGCAGTTGTCTTTCGGTGTCTGGTGTTGCTCAGTTTGAAAACTTCGTCCGTAAGCTGCGCCGTGAATGCCGTCCTTCTGTTTGTTATTATACTGGAAGGAGCACCGTGTCGTAACATGATGTGGCGCATGAAAAATTGTGCTACCTCAGAAGCCGTGGCTCGTGGGATCGCCTGCGTCTCAGCGTAGCGTGTCGAATAGTAGGTCGTGACGATCACCATTTGTTGCTGTATGCAGACAGGGGAAATGGGCCGAGAATGTCCATGCCGACTTGGTCGAACGGCGTGCAGGGTGCTTCAATGGGCTGAAGCAAACCAGCTGGCTTAACAGATGGTTGCTTTCGGCTCTGACATTCCTGACAGCTCTTGAAGTACTTCTTGACGCTTGCTGAAAGTCCTGACCAATAGTACCTCTCGCTCACTCTGGCAAGTGTCCTTGAGTAGCCCAAATGACTGGATGTGGGTTCGTCATGGCCAGCGAAGAGGACATCGTCTCGCTTGTCTCGAGGAACCACCAGGAGGTAAGCCCAGTTGTTCGAATGAGCGTTCTTCTTGTATAGCACACCGTATCGCAGGTAGAACGACGTCAACGAGCGGGATAAATGACGTGGAATAATTGGGCCCTGGCCCTCTAAACGATCAATAACTGGACGAATCTCTGCGTCAACTCGCTGCCGTTCGCGTAAGTTTGATGCGCTAACGGCGCCCAGGAAGACTTCGTCTTCCTCTCCTTCCTGACTGACGACATGAAGGGGTGCGCGTGACAGTGTGTCAGCGTCTTCATGCTTACGGCCGGACTTCTGGATGATGGTGACATCAAATTCCTGCAGCCGCAAGCTCCACCGTGCTAGCCGTCCTGAAGGGTCGCGCAGGCTTGCCAACCAACAGAGCGCGGGATGGTCCGTCACTATCTTGAAGAGACGACCATAAAGGAACGGGCGAAACTTGGTGATTTCCCACATGACTGCGACGGCACTCTTTCTTCGTAGTGGAATAATTCGCCTCGGCACGGGATAGATAGCGGCTGGCGTAGACTATCACTCTTTCGATGTCCTCTTGACGCTGAACGAGCACTGCACCGAGCCCAATGTTACTAGCGTCGGTATGGACCTCCGTGTCAGCATCATCGTCGAAATGAGCGAGAACGGGCGCTGATTGCATGCGCTGTCACAGCTCATCGAAAGCTGCTTGTTGCTCGTTTTCCCAGACAAACGGCGTGTCATCCTTTGTGAGACGAGTCAGAGGTTCTGCTAACTGTGAAAAGCCATGAATGAACCGGCGATAGTAGGCGCACAAACCAAGGAAGCGCTGGACGGCTTTCTTATCGACAAGGGCTGATAATTCGGCAACAGTGGCAAGATTGTCCGGATTGGGCCGGATTCCTTCGGCGCTAACTACATGCCCAAGAAATTTTTGTTCTTTGTAGCCGAAGTGGCACTTCTGTGTGTTTAGTGGGAGGTCCGCCGACCTGATAGCCTCCAGCACGCTGCGCAGGTGGTGAAGGTGCTGCTCGAACGTGGTAGAGAAGACCACCACATCATCAAGGTAGACAAGACAAGTCTGCCACTCGAGCCCTGTGAGGACAGTGTCCATCATTCGCTGGAAAGTTGCCGGCCATGAACACAAGCCAAAAGAGAGCACTTAAAATTGGTATAGACCGTCTGGAGTCACGAAGGCTGTTTTCTCACGGTCTCGCTGATCTACCTCGATTTGCCAATACCCGCTTTTGTGATCGAGAGAAGTGAAATAATGGGCACGACGAAGTATATTCGGCGAATCGTCGATACGCGGCAGCGGATACACATCCTTTTTCGTCACGTTGTTAAGCTTTCGGTCTTCCACGCAGCAGCGTAGCGACCCGTCCTTCTTTTTGACAATTACGATTGGAGATGACCACGGGCTGTTAGATGGTTCATTAACGCCATCGTCAAGCATCTCGCTGACTTGCGTGCGTATCGCTTCACGTTCTTTGGCCGACACTCGGTAGTGGTTCTGGTGTATCGGGCGTGCGTCCTCGTACGTGATGATCCTGTGTTGAGTGATGGACGTCTGGCGGATCTTTGAGCAACTTGCGAAGCAAGACCTGAACTCGAACAAGAGTGCTCGTAGGGCAGTCTGGTTATCTATGGACAGATCAGGATTGATGTCAATATTACTCATTGACGTGTCGGCGGTATCCACTATAGTTCCGACGTGAGACAGTCGGTGACGTTTGCTAATCCGTGGGCAAACTCTATCGAAGTGCCACGGAAAACATGTCGATGCTCATTGCTAAAATTGGTTACGAGCAAATCAGATCGGCCATCACGAAGGTGTATTACACTTCTAGCTTCACAAATGCCTTGCTGCAGCAGGTGTTCTAAATTTGTCTCAGCCATCGCCCAAAGCACAGCATGTTACGTCAACTAGAACACTTGCTCGTGGAGGAAGCGTCACGCTCTGTTCATAAATACGGAGTACGTCGACACGCCTTCCGTCATCCTGCACGTTGATTGCTTACTGGGCTGAGAA